AAGTTCCTGCAAAGCCCCTGTAAGCCCACCACAAGTCCATCGCAAGTCATTCCGTCTTAAGCCATTTCACAAGCTACTCAAATGAACTGTGCCCTGTTAATTATGACTGACCTTGTGAAGGGACTTGCGGAAGGACTTGTGATAGAAGGAAAACACACGGCATATGAACCTAACTACATTTATTACCTAGACAATTAGATCAAGAAAAATGAAAAGCACGTACATGTACGTGTACTTCAGAGTCACATCTAATTTGTCAATTTGTCCGCATTAAGACAATTACTTTTCACACAAAAGTTGCAAATACTACATAAACTGTGCAGGTTGCTTCTTGGTTGGTCCAGGAAAGGGACAGGGTGTCATATCGAGATATCACCAGCCAGACTCCATCAGGACACAATGCCATCTTTGAATTGAATCCTTTTTTTTTCCAGGCTCAAAAACTGCCACTGCCATACTGTCTTGACATCATGGGACACTTTCACTCTTGGGTTAGTCCAATGAACAACATTAAAGCAAGATTCAAGTGGACTGGCTTGTTAAAGGAACCAGGAATAGAAATATTTTTATAAATTTTACTCAAATTCCTTGAAATTGCATTTTTTGGTTTCAATTAACCTCATTTTAAATTTTTGTTTTGCAACTTAAACCCATATTTTGATGCTTTTTGTTTTATGCTAATACATTTGCATATTCATGAGCAGAACTATGATGTCATCCAAGGCACTGAATCTCAATGTTGCACTGATTTGTGCACAGAAAATTTCTAGATTTTTTTACCACTGCTATGGCAGATTTTGTTTTCTTTGGCAATTTGTTGCTGTGTAAGTACATGGCAATAATCCAGCAAAAAATCCTTTTCACAGAAATTTTCAGAGAGCAAATTTGGGATTCACAATTTGAACATGAAAACATGCAACCTGAACCATGTCTTCCTGGATTTACATCAAAGCAAAAGAGCCCTCACTTGGCCAGAAATGCAATTTTTTTTCAATGCAATTTTTAATGTTTGAAAAAGTGCACCGTTCAGTTCACGAAACTCAAAAAAGATGTCAAACAGTCTTCATACATGGAAGAAGAGTACAGAGATACACAAAGGTGATTCTAAGAAAAATTCATTTCCTGGTTCCTTTAATTTGTGATTGACCCGACACCACTTACATGTAACAATTCAAGTTCATTCTGTCCAAGTACAATCATAATGTACTCAGCAGTACCTCCCATGTGACTTGAATGTGATCTGCACAAATCCTGCATACATGTCCATTTCCATTCTTCTGACTTAAGTTAAGTAGTCTCTCCAATTCCCGGCGCTGAATAAAAAATCAATGATTTAGCAGGGATGAGAAGTCAAATGATGTGGCGTATTTTTAGCACGGACATGCCCCCATCCACAGCCACTTTTATAGGGCAGTTCACTGACCGCATGACCACTAATATTGATTAATAATCCAAGAAACCTAATAGCACACTATGTTTGGAGACAGAACAGGGCTACAATCCAATATGCAAATGAAAGGAAATATCTGGCTGGAGGACAACCCTTACTGCAACGTGGCAAGCTGGCACTGCTGCGCTTGGTGAGAACATCGTTCCACCTGACTGTACTGCAAATACAAGACCTCAGCAGCCCTAAGGAAACCAGTCATGAGAGATCCATTAAACCGGGCTCACTTTCCTATCAGGGTGCCTTACATGTACATGGGCAAATTATTCCAACCAACTAGTCTTCTCCGATGACTTTTGTAGCTTGCATGTCAAACAAGCCCATGAAAATGTTTCGTTTGGTTGATGGTTTCGTTAACGTTGTTTTTCTTTTTGTTTTGGGGTATTCGTTCATCTTTACTTTTGGTCAACAAATGGACATGTACATACTTGGCCCTGTTTGGCTCGTTGATGATTCACGACAGATTAAATACAAGGACATCTGTGTCAAATGTTTGGTTCTGATTTGGTTGGATTTAAAACTGTGCCGATTCAGTCCAATCCATAGGGCCTACATGCATGCTCACTGAAAATCTTCAGCAATCACCAACTAGTAGACTGCAATGCCACCAATCATTTGCGCACCAGAACATTTCAAACAAACTAATACCAACGAGTCTGTAAGAGAATGACGTCATTCAGCCAATGTGAACCCCCCCCAAAGAAAAATTAGCGTAATCACAGAACACAAAAGAAATCTGCAAAACAAGAAATATGAACAACATGACACCAAAATTGTACCGGTATGTGTGTGTACCAAAACAGCAGTCACAATCGTCTAAAGTGATGAAACAGTGAACAACAGACATGTATTAAGTTGAAGTTAACACGACAAAAGGAAGGACAAATCCTGATTGCATCAAATTATGCATTTTGAATAAATCAACCCCAGACCAAACACTTACACTATGGCAGTAAACAATGCATCAATATGCAATACCTGGCCTGAAAGCATTTGAATTCATATTTGGATGCAGTGTGCATCAATTAAGGCTAAAAGCATTTTACAAATAGAGAGAGAAAAGGCACGTGCTCAAGAATATGGACAACAGCAAATGCCAATAACAACTGCCAATGTGACACTGCTGGCAACATCGATTTTCCACTCTAGACAAAGACTCCACAGCGTTCCTGTTTCAGCACGGGAATTCTACCCAACCCAAATCCTTGCATCATTTCAGCATGAGAACGCAAGGAGAAAGAGCGCTCCTGGCCAACATGGCGCCCGCCCCTAATCATGCACGCACACAATTTGGGCTGGCTCGGCTCAAAGGTACAACATGTAAGTACAGTAAGAGCGTGCTGACATTTTTTGTTTGTCATTCCTTCACATTTTCCCTCTTTTAGTCACAAAACTGGCAACAAACGTCTTTGTTACAAAGGAAGGGGCGCTCTAGGCTAACCAACATTTCTGAGTGCCAAAGAAAGCATAATAAAGCAAAACACTGAATAACAAGCATCTCAAAGTTGATACAAGACACAAAAGATTAACATGACTGCTGTAATTGTGAATGCATTCGCCTAATTCCACTCAGTCACAACAGTTCAGTAAACTTGTAAACAAAATCCAATATCTATTCACCACGCTAGAACAAAATTAAATAATCCACAGCCCAGAAATATCTGGCATATAAATCATCATTCAATCAATGGTAGGGACAACTGTCTACCTACATTGTAATAGCAGGACAGTTGCAGAAATGATAAATGTTTTACCTGAACCACCAAAGGGGTGAAAGCAGCAATCAGTTTTTCTATATAAAAAACCAAACAAACAACACAACAAACAAACAATAAACCCCAAAAACCAGGCACTCAAAAGACACATGATGAGTCCAAAAAAATGTGAAAACACTCAGAATTTCTGAAGGCGGAAAGACTGGGTGATTGTTTATAACCACATTTCAGAGCAAGACATATATGTGTATTAATGCATGCAAGTACCGGTAGCAAATGAAATGTGGTTGTTTGATATTCATGACTTCTGGAGTTTGTTGAATGTGTCCAAAGAATTCTCATGACCTCCACTGCCAAGGGGGGATTGGTTTTCAGCATTCACTACATAACACCTACATGTACATGTACGTGTTGATGCCTTGAACCGCACTGCCCTTAGTGCACAGACGTGGCTACCAAGTTCACAGCCTATCAGGGCAAAGCACAGAAATCTCCAGCTGGCTATTCAGCAGCTCACAATAGGGGTATGTGGAATCTGACAAAATACATGTACGTGTATAAGCAGGCACAACTAGACATACAGAAATTGTGCAACACAAATAAGGCCAACGGGTCACAGGCTGCCTGTGTGTGCTACCCCCGCACACTGGCAGCTGAAGCCTCAGCCTCGCCGCAGCCCTATACGGCCCACTGTAGCCTGGGCTGCACCGTCTAGACTTCCACGCTAGGGAGAGAACTCTAACCCTCCACATTAGGGGGCTTGGCCGAGGAGAGATGGCAGCTCCGAGCACGCAGCGGTTTTTACCAGCGGCAGTGTGTAAATGGATCAGACACTGTTAACAACGCACCGGCGATAGCTGACTGGTGTGGCTGACTAGACCGCATGCAAATGACCTCGTAACACATCCAATGTTTACCAACTCGTGTGCAAAATGTAGTCAATTAATTTCAGATAACTGGCCAGAAAATCAATGAGATAATCAATGTATCATATAACCTAACATTTCTGTCAACTCCCAGGGTCCAAGCCATTACCTTTTAAACCATAGCATTTACAGATTACAGTGTCTATCAACCATTATACATGTAGGGATATACAGCGGTGACAATTCCCCTCTCTAAAGTTAAAACAAACACACCCAGACACTTCTATGAAAATTTTCTCGATCATCTTTTAAATCAGGCTATATCATCCATAAACTGTGGTTAGGCTATTCCACATCACACAAATTCACATCAGTTTCCTGTCTTTCTCTTTTCAAGCAAGCTTAATCATCCTCGCCCTTCATTGTGCCTACTGTCTGTAGATTCTTTCCTTGTCCTACATATATCATTTAACATCTGTAAATCAATACACCAAAGAATCTGAGATGAACTCGAGTAAAATTACCAATTTATCCCTTTTGTTTTTCCCCACAGGATAACTGTGCAAGCTAATGTCTTTTGATGCTTTTAAGATGAGTGTTGAGCACTGCGGGGAAAAAGGTTTACTGAACCAAATAAAGATGCATGTCACTGGACATCTGTGATTAACCAAATTAACCTGAATGTTTTTATATAATTAAATATTTTGGGGGCCAAGAAAGAGGATACAAACAAACTTCTCATAAAACTACCAGTGCCAAAATAACCAACTTTTTCATCTTTTCCTAATTTAGATTAATTGCGACTTTCCACATCCTGAGGCCTCCTATAAAATTTAAAAAGCGGCTAGACACAAATAGTTTTGACATGAGATAGATACTCTCCAAAATCTTCCCTCATTATTACAAATTGTTAAGTGAGCACATACATGTACATGTGCTGCACATCTGGAGTCACCAACGTAAAGTCTTTACCTGTTGTATCTTGCTTGTAAGGATGCTTTTGTAGCTGCTGTGCCCTTATAGTCACGAAGCTGCAGTCCTCTTGGCTACGTCGCCTGACTGATTACCCCTGTTGTCAGTCACTCCTGCCCTGCTGCGCTCACTACCTACTCCTAACACTGTGTGCAGTCAGCCAGCCATCAATAGTCGGCAAAGGGACAACTGTGTGTGCAGTTGGGGGAAAAAACACAAGCATAATGAATGTTTGAATTGCAGCTGGCCAGTCAAGCCAAGACAGAACGATCCGGGAGCTTGAAAATGTTCCCGATGGTGACTCTAACACAGAATGATGTCTGATGAGAGGGTCCCGCCGGCATGTATTCAGGAGAACAAAAGGCTTGGGAGGAGAAAAATGCAGGCTCTTAACAACTAGGCGGTGGGCCACACTACATCATGTTCAGCTTCAGCTCCAAGTTTATATTCATGGCATGTAAGCACGGGATGCCCGCACTGTGCCCTGTATGGCACTCGCTGCATTAATAAAGGACTCTGAGTGCCTGGTGGTGAAGGATGGCAAGCACAGCCAAAATACTGTCAACATTGGATGGGTGGGGGGGCTACACACGACTAAAATGAGGAAATATTCAAGTAGGACCATCTTGAGAGAAGCAACCTTTTTTTTCTTGCCCCCCTTCTTTTATTCTCTTCTTTTCTCGGTCTCTTTACCCTGAATCACAGGGGCCTGTATGTAGGTATACTGATTCCACAGAGAGCCTCGAATTAAAGCGGGAACAAATCTGGGGGATTGGGGGGCTTGGAAATGACTGGGTCAGGTGAAACTATTGAAGGTGGTTGGGGGAATCTATCTAGGAGACTAAGGCCTGCTCAGGGGAGTGCTCAGGATTACAATATTACAGGTGCTGATAAGTCGGACTGTCAGTAGGCAAGGAGGCCATGCCCATGTTTACAACCTGGGCCTGACCAGCTGGTGTAGTGACAACATATGCTGGCTGTTGACAAGTTATCATGAGACCAACAAAAAGCTCTGGTTCTCATTTTCTGTACCCTTGGAAAGGGACTCACTATTTTGCAGTCGGAACAAAAGCCCTCTGGCACTGAAGTGAACTCACTGTTGCCAGATGTATACATAACATGTTCAACTACAAAATGCGTGTACAAAATTGAGAAATTTGAGTTTGTCATACATAGTTGTTGGACTTTTCAAACAAGATAAAATTTCTGGATTAAATGCATTTAGAGGTTGGACCAGTGAAACTAAACAATTTTGTTGGACTCCAATACACCATGGCCATTTCCTCCCACTTCAGTCTTAATCTCACAGCTCAGAAATGGGCTGGAGATTTCCCCCCCCACCGAGTCATCCTCCCCCCAACACAATCAAAACAATTGACAATTGACAATTGACGATTGACAATCAACACAATCAGTCAATCAATCAATCAATCAATCAATCAATCAATCAATCAATCAATCAATCATTCATTCATTCATTCTTCTCCCCAGCTGCAGTCATCTCATATCATTACATAGGGCCTATAGCAAACAATAATAATGCAACTTCACATAATAAAATACAAAATATAAATAATTGAACATACAGTGATAACTCTGTGTTACAGCGCATTTTTTTAGAAACAAATAATTCTATTAAAATTAAAATTTAAAACGGTTGGTATAAAAGGTGCTGCAAAAAGGTGCTGCGACTGATCTGCATGGATCGTGTCAAATTTGGCTAACGGGGCCTTTTCATAAATTTCACATAATTTCCCCACATCACAGCCAACAACTTTGCTGGTAGTTCTGGTTATCCTCTCTTTTTTTTCAATTTACCATTTGTCAGACAGTTAAACCAAACAATGATGGAAAATTTGATAACTGACTGGATCACACTCTCATAAAACAAGTACAAGATATCCCGGTCCACTTGAAAAGATTTGAGTCTTCGTAAAAAGTACAATCTTTGATTAGCTTTACAGCAGATATGCTTAACGTTTCTGTTCCAGTTAAAATTTTCGTCAATAAAGGTCCCCAGATCCTTATACTCTGTTACAATCTCCACATCTTCGTTTTTGATCTTTATCGGCTTGAAAACATTCTTGTTTTTCCGAAAATCAAAAATGATCTTAGTTTTCCAAGCATTAAGTTCAAGCTGATTTTTCAGAGTGACTGCAGCTAGGTGGTTGCCGCTGCACAGCGCCCTCCCTCGTTCAACATTATGCATGACACAAATACTGACTTTAACCATAAATTATTCATTACTCATTCATTATTCATTACTTTTGAGGACTTCTAAGGGCAACTGTCTGAGGACCTAAGTCTCAGTCTATCAGAAGAATTTCAGGTAAAAACCTCAAGGGTCACGGCGGACATAAAGTACAAACACATGTAGGAACAAAAGACGAGCACGATAGATTACACTCAAAAACTGCACAAGGTAATATCAATCAAAATGAGTAATGAGGTATGTGGGGCACTAGTTTTGGCAACATGAGTTAGCACTGACCAACTCAGAGTTCCTGCATTCTTACATCAGCACTGTAAGCCAAGGCCATTAATGCTAGCTTTACAAGTCCAGTTAACAACAACAGCGCAAGTTGCAGGGTAAGCAGTGACAAAGGCTTCCTTTTGTCCTCATTCATTTAAATACAGAGTTGCCTTATGATGGCTTGAGACTGACTGACTGACAATGGACTTGTCAATAGACTTTAATGACATGCATAGGCATAGACTGTAGGCTACACTGCCTTGTAATTTAGAATTTCCTTCACGCATCTTTCACAAACTCTTGTCAAGCATTTAAAAAAAAAAAAAAAAAGCACCCTCCTTGAAATAGAATTTTTATTTGTTAAATACCGGTAGAAACAGGGATTTGAATGCTCGTTCTATTTTGCTCGAAAACACACGCTGATATTTCTAATTCATTTTCACACTTTCTCACCGAAACTTGCTGAAAAAACCCATATTATCTTTTCAAACACTGAAAGGGAAAATATTTTTTCGTTTGCTTTTTACACTGACAAATTTATTCATGTCATAACAAAGTCAAGAATCTTGTCAAGTATCAGTAAAAAAATATTAAGTATCCTTGGAGGAAAACAAGCCACACTGAGAAGGTAAAATGAATTCTATGACATCGGAATTCCTATGAGCTTTCAAGACTGAGCAAGATTGGAAGCTACTCAAACTTGTGCAAAAGGAGTTATCAGTCAGCGCCTGACCTCATGCAAGACATGACTTATAAACGGCCACATGGGCAAAAGGAAACCAGACTTCCTTCTGGCCCCACCCCCTTTTTCATGGCTGATTTTTGTGTTTGGGCACCAAAGGTGGCACGTGTTGATACACAAAATGAACTATTCTTGGATCTCTTATCTCGAGGAGCTATTTTTAGAGTATGGAGGCAGGCTGTTTTGTAAATGGCAAAACTCAGAGATGAGAAAAGTTCTCGGAGCTGAGCATTCACCTCAATACCTCATAAGGAATTCCCAGACACGTACACCTTCATTTAGAAATTTTTTGAACTCGAGAATGACAAAAAATGGCAGTCCTAAAAAATGTTTGCCACAACAAATATAATGGTTGGTGTTCAAACTCTTGTTTCCAACATTTACAATTTGCAGCAAGTTATGTAATGAGCATAATGTCAGGAGGCCCAAGAAACTATTAAAAGGTTCTGCTTCTCTTGATCAGGATGGTTAGAAAAGGGTAAGAATGGATGCAAACCTTCTCACCAGCTCCTAAGAAAAAGGCTAAAAGCAGGGCCACCACTTGAGCAGTGGCCCATGGGAAGACAGTGTGGACTTGCATATTTTTCTCATGGACATTATTTATGCATGGAAACTACATGCAACACAAGTGCATGCAAGTGTGCATGATCTGTGCTGGACCAACAGCATATTGTTACACACGGTAGACTCCTGCATGGGTGCCTAGGATTCTTACACAGCTGACCTTCTTCAAACAACCATCTGTAAAATTGATTGTCCAAAATAACTCCCATTTCAAGGTTTATACAACAAGGAACGCTAAGGCAGGCCTCTCTGTGCATCCTCACATTAATATGAAATAGAATCAATTTCCTTCAAATCAAACTCAGAATTTTCTCTTTCTGATACAAGAGATCTGTCCACTACCACTTCTTTCGAATATCACAAAATGATGGATGGTCTAGGGTACCCTCTCATCACAGCCAATTTCAGCTGACACATCTGCAACATTTGTTAGTGATTCAAGACAGTTGGGTCCCCCTCTCCCTTTTACTGCTGGTACTCAACAGCAGGAGCTAAGAGACTCAGACCAAGAAGTCCAAGACGTTCTTATTACATGCGCGACTCTACAAGTTTACCTTTGGTATTCTTATTGTTTACTTGTCTTTTTTTTTCAAAGGAGGTACATGTACATGTTCGTGGACTGGCATGTCTGTTAACTGCTACAGCATGTATTGAGGTTTTTCACGAAATGGAACATGACGGGCAAAGGTATTTCAGGAAGTGTACCTTGTCCAGGGATTTCTATTGGCACTTCCATGTATGCCAGAATGTTGAGAGACTTTGAAGGTGCACAAATTCCAAAATTTGTATCCTTGTGGTGACATGGCTTTGTTCTCCAGTATTAATTCAGTGGCGTGTGACACAATGTTTTCAAAATGCTCCCATTTCAACAAAAATCACTCTCCTGGACTGATATTTCGACCGAATGTCCCTTACATGAAACACTTCAATTTGCGACAGATTCTTACACATTAAAAATTTCTCCGTTTTGAGCAATTTCCAAATATCAGTTTTGTGAAATCCTTGTGGAGGCCTATACACCTTGAGAAATTCCTTGTGGAGACCTATTCAACCCATTCTTTTGGGTCTCCACAAGGCACCATATTTCGACACACGTTTCTGCACACATCTGTGTTAACTGGATGCTGACCGTCAAAAATTAAGGGACTCCTCTATATATGCAACTGAATCAATAACAGGATGGCTTTAATGATGGCCTTAAGTGCCAGCATTTTTAATTTCAAATGCATGACTTTCCCAGGTCATTTGAAAGTGAAAGCACATTGGAAATATTCCCAATTGTACAGTTTATAAAGACAGAAAAAGCAGCGTCGAATGTTATAGGCCATGACAAATTCTACCAATTTTCCAGATAAGGTTACTTATGCCAACAAAACAAACAATCTATTTTTCAATATAAGTTGAATGTGT